AGTTAGCCTGGGCGTTTGTTCTGCGAACATATGTCGGAGAAGACCGTGTAATCTTGGGATACTCGCATGCTGGTAGGGATACACTTGTCATGCCTAGTATGAAGCGTCATGTTGGCAGTCTGGCCACCTTTGTTCCCTGCCTGGTCGACTTTTTGCCCATGTCAAGTGTGCTTGACCTCTTGTGGCAGTTGGAAAGAATGGCCAAGGATGCTCGGGAGACGGATGCTCCAACCTTGGCCGAGATTGAGAACTCGCTTGGCATCCAGGGCCAGAGCCTGTTCAACACCTGTGTGACCTGTCAGGATGTTGATGACTCCATCTTGAGCGATTCTGACTCGGACAGCGGCGTCTGGGAGCCTGTTCTACTTGCCAACACCATCGATGGCAACTGCGACGTCTCGCTTTGTGTGACACTCCGCGAGGACCGCATTCAGGCGGATGTGAGCTACTCTTGCTTGTCGCCGGCTCAACTTCACAACGTTATGAACACATTTCAACGTGCTCTGCAGGTCATCATCGACAATCCCGCACAGCTGTGCTCACAAGTCGACCTCTTCACTGAACATGACTTCCAACAGATTATGAATCCTGACTGGGAAGAGGAGCAGACCGACACCAAGATCTCAGCATGCCTGCACCAGCTTATTCTCAAACAGTGTGAAGTTCGCCCCAATTTCCCGGCCATCTATGCTTGGGATGGCGAGCTTTCTTATCAACAGGTCCGGGCTAGTGTCACTGCACTAGCCACATATCTTGTCAACATTGGGGTTCATCCTGGCGTTCTGGTTCCTATCGTCTTGGAAAAGAGCCGCTGGTCGCCGGTCATTATGCTTGCTGTGATGCAAGCAGGCGGCTGTTGTGTCTGCCTGGACGCTCAGGACATGGTCATGGTCGAAGCCATGATTAGCCAGCTCGCGCCAGAACTTGTAGTTGTCACGGAGGGCGCATACAAGCACTTGGACCTTTCCAACACGCCTTTTGTTTTGGTCAATGAAACCTTCTTGTCGTCTCTTCCACCACAAGTGAGTGTAAAGTTGAAAGACTCTCTCCCCCAGCAAGCAGCTTGTGCCTTCCTAGCACCGGGCATTGAGAAGCCAAAGGGATGCTTCTTTACTCATGAATCGTTGTGCTCGATTCTCTCGGTTCAGGGACAAGCCCTGAAGATCCACAATGGCAGTAGAGTGCTTCAGCTCTCTGCTTATACCGTTGACATTGCGCTTGTCGAGATTCTAGGCACATTGCTCCATGGGGGCTGTGTCTGCATCCCCTCCCCGTTGGAGCGCGTAAATGACTTGGAGGGCACTATTGCTCGGATGGATATTACTTGGACTTATATGACAACGGTTTTGTCACGAAAGATCAACCCGGCCAACGTGACGAACCTGCAAACCATCTGCTTCCGCACAAGAACTTTCGATGAAGATGCGTTCAAGCCATGGCTTGGCAGCAGGGACATTCTTCTTGCTTATGGCGCTCCGGATGTATGCCCACTCGCGATTTCGGTTTTCAACATTGCGGAGTCTAGCGACACCAACATTATTGCTCCGCCTCTCCTCGGTCGGTTCCTGATCCTCAACCCTGAGGACCCCAAGAAGCTGATGCCTCTTGGTGCCGTTGGGGAACTAGCTATTGATAGCCCTATCGTAACACCTCACAAGTACATTCATGGCAATCCTCTCATGGACCCGGCGGCTTTCCAGAAAATCCGTGGTGAACGAAAATGGCGTTATTTGAGAACGGGTCATCGCGTGCGATACCTCGACCGGGGGCATATTCGCTTCCTTGGAAGCATGCGAGATGAAGTCCTGGTCAATGGATTTCCTGCCCTAATTGCTGTCTTGGAACAACAAATTCGACAGTGTCTCGGCGGCGATGTAGATGTTGCCGTGGAGCCAATCACAACCAGCAACCACGTCAACTCTCTTGCTGCGTTCCTGGAATTTGGCGACAGCGAGTTTGTGGGACCATCTGAGCTTGACAAGTTGACCATGCAGATGAGATCCAAGCTCGCTGCTGTCAAATGGCTGGCGGAAACTTCCCTTGCCCAGGCTTCAAAGCTTAGCCACTCTGCTTGCGTCCCAAAGCTCTTCATTCCCATCCGTCGATTCCCACTGTCCACCTCGCTCAAGATTAATAGACGCAAATTGCAGAAGATGGCCTCTCCATTTTCGTACACTGACCTGCTGGAATTGACAAATGTCCCTTTTAGCAGCCAGCCTCACTTCACGGGGATCCAGAGTAAACCACTCCCACTTACACAAACTGAGGAGTCGATGCGTCTCATCTGGGCCGCCGTGTTGCACGCCATGGTCGCGGATATTAAGACGACAGATAGCTTCCTGGATGCTGGCGGTGACAAACTCCTAGCTATGAAACTTGTTTTGTCCTGCCGCCAGAATGGCTTCGATGTTCAAATCAGCAAACTTCTTGGCGGAGCCACGCTTACGGAAATGTGCCAATCCCTGGAAATCAAAGAACACCATCTCCTCCAGACACCCAAGCCCAAGACCTCTCCTAAAACCAGCGTCGTAGCCCGCAAGCTACCTGAAGGTACAGACCACGGCTTCGTCAAGCTCGTGGTTGCGCCGCAACTCGACATCCCCTGGAACGATGTCATTGATGTCGCTGAAGCATCGTCACACCAGCTCCAATGCCTCGAGCCTAGTCTCTATGGACCCAGGAGTGACATTCGCTGCCTCGTCATCAATTTCAATGGCTCTATTCGCGCACAACGCGTCGAGGAAGCATGCGAGGCCCTCACTCGCCTGCACCCTTCTCTTCGAACAGCCTTCGCAGTGCACGACTGCAACCTGTTCCAAGTTGCCATTGACTCGTTCCACGCAGACTTTGAGCGAAAGTCTGTGTCAGCGTCATCTGTAGACAAGGAGTTGCAGCAGGTCTTGAAGCGTATGCAGAAGGAGGTGCTCCAGCTACGAGAGCCGGCTACCAAGTTTGCCTTCCTGGATGCTGGACAACATGGCGGCAAGTTAATCATCCGATTCAGCTATGCCCAAGTCAGTGAATCTGCTGTGCCGCGGTTGGTGCAGGATTTCGTCAAGCTGTACGAACACCCCACGATGGAGAGTCACCGGACCTCGTTCTTCGACTACACTCGTGCTCTGAGAGGTGCGCGATACGATGACAGCAGGGTTTATTGGAGACAACGACTCGAAAAGGCCAAGGTCACACAGGTTGTTCCTCGTTCAAAGCCTCTTCCTCCGGTTTCCGAAGTCAAATCCTTCCAGGAGCAAGTCAAGATCTCATCGCTGACCGACTTCAATATCACATTCGACAGTGTCCTCAAGGCCGCTTGGGCCATGGCCATGGCCACGCTGTCCGGTATTTCGGACGTTGTCTTTGGTGAAATCGTCGAAGGACGTCGCCTTAAGCTGGAGACCAGTGTGGATGTGTCGTCCATCGCAGGTCCCATGGAGAACATTGTGCCCATCCGGGTGCGGTTCCCCATTGTCAATAGTTCGCCCTTGCAGGTTCTCCAGCTCATCCAGCGAGACAGCGCCGCTTCCCTTCCCTATGAAGCCATGGGCGCGCAGAAAATTGCACAAGAATGCACAGATTGGGCCAGCTGGTCGCGATTCAGCACCGTCGTGCGACACAGAACCCAGGTTCCCGTCGATGGAACCACCACGTTGAACATTGACAACACGACGTTTACTTATAAGCTCCTCCAGCCGCAGGTCCGAGATGTTCCCGATCTCTTTGCCAGTTCTACCATGATGTCACCAGACAAGGTCTCCCTCAGCATTGAGTACTCTCCCGACCGCGTCCCCGACTCCTTCGCAAAAGCAGCCATGAGGCTCCTCGTCGCATCCGTCGAAACTCTCGCCTGCTACGACACCATCAGTCAGCCCATCCTCCAGCCATCAAGCGACTACGAATCTATCCCGCCGCGTGTCCTCCTCGAAAAACCCGAGCCAGACGTCACACAGCCCTCATACACGCACTGGCTCTCAGCCGAGCAGCGCAGCACCCTCCAGCAGTTCCTGATATCCAGCTGGAACGAGCTCCTCCACCCACACCTCGCGACGCAGGGCATCTCCGAAGCTGACCTCCTGCATTCCCGCTTCTACGACATCTCGGGCTCCCTCCTCCCCGCATACCTCTTTGCTCAACGCCTCAATCACGACCTTCGCAAGGTTGAAATCGAGGGCATCCACACCGTACACATGACGGCCGTCGAAGTCATCAGCACGCCCACCATCAGCGGCCAAATGGACCTCATCACGCGCAAGATGCACCACGCCGGCGTCCTCTCCAAGCCGGGCCGCAAGAAGCCAGTCGTCAGCTTCCACGCCGGCTTCGGCCCGACCAAGCCTTCATCCTCCAACTGGGCGCTTCTCAACAAGGGAAAAGGTCGCTTCCGCCGCCTCCGCCACGGCGGCAGCCACGGATCCATGAAGGACTTTTCCACAAAGGCAGGCGACTGGGTAAAGTCGCGGGTGAATCTCAGCAAAGAGCGCAGCCCCATCCTCCCAGAAGGCGTCATTCACGAACCAAGCAGCTGGGAGGCCCTCAACAGCGACGCCATCGGCATCAAGGACGGCTGCGGCGGCATGCTGTCTGTGCCCGAAGAAGCCGTAGAAATCGGATCGAGTTCCGTCGTCGACCCGCGACATCAGACCGGGGGCGAGGTGAGCCCCCTGAGTGGCGAGTCGCCCAGGACGAGCTGGAAGGAGGAGTCGAAAAATGCGACTGGTTCTATATCTCCATGATATTGGATGAGTTATTGAGCGCGCTCTCTCTCTCTCTTTTTTTTTTTTCTTAAACAAAACGTGTTTTTGCTTCTTTGCTTAATCCTGGGTGGTGTAGCGTATCATTGTATTGTGCATTGTACATTGTACAGAGATTTTTAAGCCTGGCGTTTGGATAAAGGGCATTTTAGGTCGTTTGTTTTTTCTCCTTTCGTTTATACATGATGTAGAACTAAGAAGAATGATGAATAAATACATTTAGACTACGCCTTGTCAAGTCCTCTGTATATCATGTCGGTCAGCTGGGACCCCGATCCCGAGCGTACACCCCCATCAGGGTCCCATATCACATCCAACCCAACTTTCTCGTCGTTCTTTGATCCCGATTTCAGCATGAATCACGGTCCAATCGGTACGGTCACTAGGAAGAGGCAGTACGGGGAGTGGAACCGTTTTGGCCCCAGGCAATATTTGGATATACTGCCCTGGGCGTTGGAGTTGCTCGAGCCTGGACACTCGGGACGGGCGAGCACGACAGACAAGGCCTCGCGCCTAATGCCATTGCACCCGCCTGTCCGACAACCTAGCCGCGACGAGGGGACAGTAGAAGATGGCACCGCGCCATTTCCCTTGGCATCCTGGCTGGGGCGACAGATTGTCGATAATGCCCTGACTCGACGGCCAAATATAAGGAAGAGCCAGTAGTCGTCAGGACTCTCACGGTGCCAAAGCCGTATGCTGTGGCTTCGACTTCCACCTGTCTATTTCAAGTGGACCGGGTGACATCTATTTCAGATGCCAAGCCAATGGCGAGCGGCGACAACATCAGAGAATGGCTATAGTGGGTAGAATTGCTGCGTATTCGTGCTCGCTCGCACGCCAGCTGTCGAGGACAAGGCAGCATTCGTGGTTAGACTGATGCTCTTCGCAATGGACTACCTTTCTATTCCTCACGAATTGAGGCCCGTTGTTTGAGCAGATGTAAGCAAATGTCACTAGCACTCCTGTCTTTGCCGGACGTGATGACTGTGTTGGCCAGAGGCGACGAGGCCACCATGGACAGGAAGGTTGGTCGTCTCTTTCAGCCAACTCGTTCATGTTCCCTTGAGACAATCCGAAGCTCAAGGAAACATTGTATTGAGGTCAACATAGTCTACAATCCGTCATGCCTCATCTAAACTATCCTTTTACTCCATGCAGCTCCCTAGCCTCATAAAAATCACCTCGAGCTAGATTAGTAAACTGGGGTATAACGTTGTTCTTTAAGAAACTCCTTCTCTTCCGACTGGCCACACCATCTTGCAATGCCCATGATGCGAAAGACCCCAGTTTAGCAAAACAAATTCGTGAAGAGGTAAACTCCAAAATCACAAAAAAAAATCCACAGTACTCCGACTCCGAGACATGATCGCTTTACTGTATATATCGCGCTGGCTTGCAGCTAAAAAAAATTAGATGGGGCTCGAGGGAGGAAAGTCTTTCGTTCCTTCATTACGAGTGCACTTTTGTCTACGCCCTCTTCGCTTTAGTTGAACTTTCCCGGGCCGGGTCCGAACCATTCGCCGGGGCCTAGGGTCTTGAGCGCGCAGGCATTGCCTTCACAACCCATTTCGGAAACGTTGTTGCCCCACCAGTCGAAGTCGGTTTCGGTATATTGTAAGCTGAAGAAGATGATGATGCCAGAGATGGCGATACCACATGACCATGCTGCTGAGAGGACAAAGTTGTACTGTCATCGAAATTTAGCTTTGGCTGCGCCACCCGACAGGAATTATTCAACGTTAGACTTGGTACGTACCTTTGACCATAGACCAAGGAACCTGGTCTTCAGATAGATCCATGAAAAGTAAGCAATGGGAACAGACGGCCAGACATATGACATGTTATATGGCGCCCAGACGATGCCTCCATAGAGAATAACGACAGGGTGAAGTTGCCGAGCCCAAGTCCACTTGGGGAATTTCTTGTTCAGGGCCCAGATCAAAACGACAATGACAACGCCGAGTGGAAAGCCAATCAGGGTCTGGCTGTACTGGCCGCGGTGACCAAAGATCTTCTGGGGGCCGACGGTACCCCATAAGACAGAGGCGGTAAAGAAGGTGTTGACGCCGGGACAGGTGAGTTTATACTGAGCCTCTGGCGTGCAAACATTGTTGATATTGTTCATTTGAAAGTTCAACACGCCAATGCAGACAATGGTGCTGAGAAAGGTGGCAACCATCTGCGCAACAAAGGTCTGGCGAGGCGGAATCTTGACATAGTGGGCAAGCTTCAAGTCGTTGCAGAACCAAATGGCATGCGCGCAAGTGACGTACCCAAACGACTTGAAGTAGTTCATGGCCAGAGCATTGCCATCCACCCACGAGCCACCGACAAACTCGGCCAAGACGTTGAGCGTGACTTCAATCCCCGTCATCGCCTTGATGATACCAACAGGAATCACAAAGATTACACAGAGAGCAAGGCCCCAAAATACCACGCCCGGGGAGGTGTGGGTATCCCATCCGACGATGCCTGAAATTCCAAAGGCTATAGCAATGGCAAGACAAGCCATGTACCACCACTCGGGAACTTCCGGATAGGCGCGCATCAGTCTATTGTGCACATCCAACACACGTTCCTCCTTGACGGGCTTCTTCTTCAGCCGCAAGCTGTAAAACAGGGCCTTGAATCCCATGGCAATTTCGTGGCGATGATATAACGCGGCATAGGTAAGCGTCGACGTGTAGATGGCAAAAAAGAACATGTAGATGACCACATTGCCAGCACCAAGATATGGAGGCGAGTACGACTCGTATTTCTCTGCGTTGAATAGCCCATGATCGTCGGTTGCCTTTGTTATGTTGTAAAGCTGAGCAAAGCGATCGAAGACTCGGTTGGTGTTGATGGGGAGATAGCCCGTATTGTAAACGTTCTTGTACCAGAAGATCAAAACTACCCAAAAGGAAGCGAAGACGCCAATGAAACGGTTGAGCGTACTAAAGAAGGGAACCATGAGCGGATCAGCAGAATCCCACAAAAGCACGTTCCAATCCCATGTAGGGAAAGGGTTAAGGCCCAAGCCGTTATTGATGCCGGTGACAATGTTTAGGTCCCGGTGGCCAGGGGCAATCCAGCTGATCCAGTTGAACTTGGACAAGCTGACCCAGATGTAATTGGGGAACCAAAACCACACAAACATGGCGGCGAACATGAGGTAGAAGAACTTGATGCGCGAGATCCTCCAGATGGAGCGAAATGGGCCGCCAACGGGAGGGTTCATTTCGGTATGGAACGCCGAGTTGAGGGCAATAGTTACTAGAGAGGCCGGCCAGACGCAGTACGACGGATAGACGAGGAATCGGCGACAGATGCCAGCAATGCCGTAACCAATAAAATTGGTGGCGAGGGCAATTAGCAGCTGGTATGCAAAGTGCGATGCATACGGTTGATCAAAGTACTGTGGGAGATACTGAACCCAAATGATGTAGTTTGTATACGGCGTGTTGTAAGCCACGTTGGCCATGATGGTGATGAGCATGTGCTCCTTCTTGGAAAAAGGGCCCGGGTTGAGGGTGTGCCTGATGCCAAACATAGTAAAGCCCTTGTCAGGGAGCCAGCGTTCGGCAGCTTTGCCAATGGGGTAGGCAAGTAGCTGGGCGACGTTGGCCATGACACGAATGGCCGGTTGACGAATATCGAAGAGCTGGTTGATGAAGGCAAGCAAGACGGAAAAGATCAAGCCTATGGCCCAACTTCGGATAGTAGAGCACGGCGTTTTGGGGTCGTCCTTGTTGCTGACAACAGCACGCACCTCGGAGTAGGGACTGTTGCTGGTGACGAGGGCGGCCTCGAGCTTCATCTCTTGGATGAGATGCTGATGTTGGTCTGGGTTTTCAAAGATGTCGTCATTGTCGAGAAACGTCTTGACCTTCTCGATGACGGTTGTGGGGAAATTGGGGTCCTTTTCATGGATTCGGCGCACTCGTATCATGATATCGCGGACCTCTTCGAGAGTATATTGCGAGGCAAGCTCTTTGGCCTCGAGAAGGTCATCCTCGGTAACATTGAGATCGTGCTCGATGGCGGTAGGGGTTCGCGGCTGATCGCCTTGGCGGGCGAAGCTGTCGTCTTCATCGTAGGAGAAGGGTTCCTGTGAGGTGGCGTGCATTGCCCCAGTCAGCGTTTGATGCCCAAGGAAGTGTTGTCGGGGTTCGCAGCCCGGTCTTTTCCAATTGCTCTGCGTGTTGCCAGCCCAGACCGAGGCAAGGCTGGCAAGGCTGGCAAGGCGATAGTGGCATTTCGCATCCTTGCTTGATGTTGTCCAACGAGTGCCAAACGACACTGCCCAAAAGCGAAAAGCCAGGTGGTTGTCAAGGCGATTATCACGACGAGGATGTCGACAGACTGCGAAAAGACGACAAGACGGACAGGCAAACGGCGGGAGTTGGGCAATCTTACCGAATTCGGTTCGGATTTCTCGGTGGGCGAGGCGGACGGACGGCGTGCTGCGTCTTCGGTGGCCTCTGTCGCTTCTGCTACTGCTGCTCGTTTCTCATCCTCAGCCATGGCGACGAATGAGCGGCGTGACTGCGAGTGCAGACGAGGGGTTCGCAGAGGGAAAGCCCTCGCTGGGCTGGAGGATTGTCGCAATGGCGTCGATACGTCAATGACCAAAGGCTTGATTCTGGGGAGACGACGGTATTCGGACGGCGAGCGTGGTGACCCGAGCTACGGGATGTCGTCGGACGCGCTGTGCGATGAGATGCGAACGAGGGGGCAGATGGCGTTGATGGAAGACGAGGACTGAATGCAAAGGGAACGACCAACGAACGAACGAACGAACCAGACGAGATGCGCGGAGTCTGGTGGAGGGGGGGAGCGGCCGGGCCCCGATGCCCAGATGCCCACTAATAGATGCCCACCCGCTGCCCACACAGAAACCGGCGCACGAGGGAACACTGCAGACCTGACTGGCTTGCAAACGGGCTGGCGGCGGGCCGGAGACGCGCTCTGACTGGCTGGAGGCCCAGATGGCCCGATCAGCCCAGCACGGTGCAGGTGCCATTTGCTGGCTGGGCTGGACTTCCGAGCCCGCAGCCCCTACAATGTGGCCTGGCGGGAGAAACTGCGCACCACCGACTGCACATGTGAGCACCACCGAGCACCACCGAGCACCGTTGCAGGCACCTGAGCCGCATGGCATTGCCCCGGTGGCCGTTGCCACGTTCAAATTTGTCGACTGGAATCAATAAATGCATTACATTACAATACATGTATAGACCACCAGACTTCTCTGTCTCCTCTTGCGTGGACCGGGCCAATTGGAGATGCGCATTGTAGGCAAGAGCATTGTCTAATGCGCCTGCCCAGAGTCCGTCGAGACAAAAAGAGGGTCTTGTGTGCCGCTTTCCCGTTCGTGCGTCAAACCATCAAATCTGCAATGTCCCAACGTCCAACGTCCAACGTCCATCGTCCAATCTGCAATCCGCATTCCGCAATCCGCATTCAACACATGCCCTCCTCTTCAACTGCTCCATTGACCATGTCTGTCTGCGCTTTCTGCACGGACAAATCCGTTTGCCAGTCTGGAGTGCCCGCTGTATGTGCTACGTACTTTGCACAAGACCGAGTATCCTGACGGACAATCTGCCCCATGCCCTTCTATAAGAAGCAAAGCGTGGTGCCACCATCTCTGATCCGGATTGGGCGCTGGTTGTCTCCTTGACTCGAACTAGTCGGCTCACGGCAACGGCTTCGAGCACCTTGTCGCTCATTCACACCCTCGGATTGACTTCGCTATGAATGCATTGCCCATGGATGGGCCGGAGGGGCCCAGGGCTGCCAACGGAAGGATGGGAGCACACATTGGATCTCATGCGACACCAAACGAAGCCCGCGTTGGCCAATTCTCAGACAGACTGATAGACTGGGTGGTACGAGGTTACTCCTGGTCGGCTTTACGGCACACAACCCACAATGCCTGACACACAACTGAGCTGAGTAAAAGGGGCCACTAAGGGTCTGATTGATACGCAATCCGTTGGCTGATACCGAGGACCCTCTCACATTAGTACAGATCAACAACTACACTTTGTGCACCATTCGGGCATCACACACAATCTTTCACGAATAAGCCAAGAGAAACGGTCGGTGCGCAAGTCGCCATGGCAGGCTTTAAAACCAAACCAAATGTCTAGCCTATTTGCCGCCATGATGAAAAAAACTCAAGGCGCTCACTCCACAGACATTGAACCACGAGCAGCTTGTTGACGTACAACGGTGGAGTACAGACATGTTGATGCCGCACATATCCGGGTATGAGGGCCTGAGTTCATTAATGCCGATACAACAACACCGCATGCAAACTACCTGACATGCAACTTCTGCGCGCCATGTCGCGACCGCCACCGTGATGGCCTTGGTGACTGACAAGTGCTGCCTCTCCGTTCTATCCAAGGAATGTGAAACTTGGTAGCAGAAACGGCATTCGGCACGGATTTTTTTGGTTCAATCCGAAACAGCCGCCCATTACAGCGCCATGACAAGGAGTCTCTTGATGGCTTCGGCAGCGCAATCCGTGCCGTCGATCCTGGTCTGAAATTGCAGCCATACGGGGTAGTACACGGTACTCCATACAGCAACAAACATTACGGAAAGCATTTGCAAGGCCAATAATATGGACAACTCGGGTGGTAAGCAGACAAAACTCCGGCACCCGGCACTCCAAAAAGGGAGGGGGCGCCTTTGGTACTAGTAGTAGTTGCTAGTAGTATTATCAAGAATCTACAGGGAGGCACTAATCCTCCGCTTACATGTAGTACACGATAGCCAACATTTTCTCTCGGGAGCTATTCACCTCATTGTATTAAGAGTATGGAAGGACCTTGCGTCTCAGATTGGATTAAGTCTGCAGAGAAGTGCTGGTAACCCCTTTGTGTTCTGCCGATACGCTCAGTACTAATCGTTTGAGAGGCCATTCTGGAATTTACTGAGTGCTCCGCACAGAAGTCCCAGCCGACCGTTGTACCGCCTCTCCCAATAAAACGGCTGACCGCATTGGTATTTGCAGTACTATTGCTGCATGATAACTGTGGCAATGAGCACCACGTTGCAAGACCCTGTGCCGTCCCTGGGCGGCGGCCCTTTTCCAATTAGATTCACCTAGGTCGTTCTTTCTGCAAATAGGGCTGAAACGAGAAGGTGGTGGTTATATCAAAATAGCACAAGCCATACACGTCGGTAGCGCCCACGCAGCCCGCACACCTTTAGGCAACGAAAATCACGAATTCCTCTGGGTTTGGCGCGGGGCCGGCCGAATCTTGCCACCATTCATCATCTCTTGGACTTGAAGCACATGTTCTGGAAATCTTCCATTTGGAGGTCTTGTCCAAGGAGCCACCAGCGCTGCTACCTTGAACGTGCACATGGACTTGGCAGAGCATCTAGGCTTGCGTCGCCGCCTGGTTCTGTCTACTCCAGCTGAATCTCCTCTGTTCCGAAGAGCCTTCCTATCCTGGCTCGAATATATTATACTCGCCCACGGAATGGAGGTTCCGAAAAGTCGTCGTCAGCGCCAAGACGTATCTACGGTGAAAATGGCTCTTGACTATCCTATAGTCGGAATCGCTTGCGCGGTTTGTTGCAATACATACGGTTTCGCTAACCTTGATACAAACAAGTTTGCACAGCAAGTAAGTAGAGTTTCTGTGGAGCGAACCGCAAGGCACTTTTAGTGAAATGTCAACGACATATTATTGTAATCACCAAGATGAGTCGATGTGTGACAGTGTCAGGTTGTGATGTCATGCCAAAGTCATGTTCCATTTAGGTAGATTGCTGGTTCATGACTTGATGCTGTAAACACGAGTACATCAGCGGTTATTGGAATATACCCAACGTCTCGATGTAAGTTGTTATAAACGTATTGCAAGTCCAAGCGACTGTCGGTTGAGGCGACCTCATAGCCTGGCGACTCCCACAACTCCTCACACTGGCAGTTTTAATATCCAAGAGGTCCGATTGCGTGGCCACAACACATTGAAGTCTCTATCAGATGATGGATAGCACTCATCATTATTAAAACAGACAGAGCTCCTCTCTGTTGGCGTCCCAGCCGAGTCTGATATCAGGTTGTGAGGCGTTGTTGACTTTCTTTCTTTCCCTTTTTGCGACCACATTGCACAAAATGAAAGAAAGGGTTATTCAGGACATGATGTTGGGAGATTTTCTTTATGTATATGACGGAGATTTGAAGAAGAAGCACATGAATTGAAATTTCGGCCATTAACCTCCCCATTTGTATAGGGTAGCCCCGTATAGGGTAGCTTCGAATATTGGAATGTTCCAGTTTCCAAAAATTTCAAGTAGACGATTATCACATTCATTGCATACCTGGCCGGTCTATACAAGATATTCTACCATATATGGAGCAAATATGGAAAGGCTTTAATTTGCAAGCAGCTCCAACGTAGTGAGCGAATGGACTTGTGAGAGAAGGCTTCATGAGAAAAACGACTTTAAGTAGACCACCTCAGCGCGTCGTGGTTTGGCATCAAAGAGGTGAAACTTGCCCTACTGGCAGCCAAACCACATCAGTCAAGTTTACGCAGATTGGCTACGATATTTGGCGTTCGGTCTTTTGCCCAAGGATAACATATTCCATGACGGGATGTGAGATTTCGCAGAGGGCATTTGCTGAAGCCTCACCCACACACACAATCCACGGCACCATCTAATGAGACGGCCGGTGAATTACGCGAATTCTTCTGGGAAAGGGCCTCGAATCAACTCCAAACCCAGCCACCATTCTACAAAGCAACCTGTACAAAAGCTACGTCGGCCCTCTGCTGAAGCCTACTCAAGGACTGGACGACAATGTTTCTGCCCCTTGCGCCGCAGCCAAAACGAGGACTCAACAACAAGCACACGTCCGTTATCCAAAACGACAGTACCATGGCCGCCATACTAGACTTCCTCCCCCAAAATAGAACACAAGAATTAATACACGCCCCGGCTGGCCCGGATCGCAGCTGCCCCATCGCCGTTCATGATGCGGCCCCCGAAGCCGGGCCTCTCTCCAAATACTACTAGTAGTACAATCCTGTTTCACATCTCAGCCCACGAGCGGAGCGGGAATTGTATCAAAACGCGGGCAGATCTCGGCAACAAGTGGATTGGATTACAAAAGAGACAAAGAACAAAGTCATTTGTTTCCCTCGTCCCCCCACAAACCTCAACCCCGTGCGGTGTGTCTGGTTCCCGTGGGATCGCCCGCGTTTCCACCTTTGGCCGAGGCAAGCGAGCAACAATATGTAGATGCGTACATACAGATTCACGACTCACCGGAGAGCGTCGAGTCTCGACGCAACGCAACGGGAATGCCAGAAATGTCGCTCTGCCCAAGTGTCAAAGCACACATTCACTCACTCACTCACCCCTGCCGACTCCATCGCCGCGCCCTCAGATAACAAAAAAAGCCGACGTGGTTTTGTGGTACAGACGCCGCTGCCGAGGGTCACCATCAGGAGGAGGCAGGGAAACAAGGTCGTTGCAGAGATGGCCTGTTTCCAAGCAGAAACAATGGCACGACGGGCGATAGTACAGTGTCACAGGGCTGGATGGGAATGTCCCGGTCGAGATGGTGAGGCTCCTCGACTCGCGGCTGCATCTGCGGCATTGCACCGCCTGCCTGCCTGTGTGCCGCGACACGGCATGGTCGCCTTGTTTGTGGTTTTATACTAGTACTGTTGTTTAATTGCGCTCCGTGTCCCCTTTCCCCAGGAACACTACGTGGCTGACTCGCAGACCCCTGGGACGTCAAGGGCGTGATATAAATAAACAAATAACCAAGGGAAAGCCCACATTGAGGCGGTACGACGGTGAAGAAGCGAGTTCAGGGTGACGGGGGGGACAAAAAGAGTATAGAAAAGACGTCTTTGTGTGACGATAAGCTGTCTGTTGGACGGGGGAGGCTCGTTTGAAGATGTCTCGTTGGATATAGTAGACGTTGGATGCGCGTATGCTTCCGGTTCTCGCCCTGTAGGTCTTTTTCTTTTCTGTTGTTTCCCAAGAGACAATGCAGAAAACCTTGTCTGCTGTATAGCCGGTAGAAACAGCCAACACCACGACTGGACGTGACCATTCCGCCTCAGAAGCCTCCCTACCTTTACATCTAGTCACCGGAATCCGGAACAGACAGTCCATGATACTGCCTCTCGGCCAGCACGTAAACCAGCCTAGACCGAAAATGCATAAACGACCCCATCGTCTGTGTGCACCAACAAGTCTAGTATTGACTCGCCGGCTCTTCCCCAATAAAGTCGCTGCTAAACGACGGCATGGTAGTATTGTGCTATTGTGCCGAGTCCCTTCTGCTGCATTGTCCGCGATGCCACCCGCTCGCGCCCCCCGCATCACACTAGTTTAATTGTGCTGCCTGGAAGTTGGAACAGACGGACCGCGCTGCCATGGCTCCAGGACTCTCGCTCGGCCTTGACCGAAAACCCATCTCTCGGAGTCAGAGTATGGACAAGACCTGCACGGCGCTGGAACCAACGGGCCGTTACGGTCCACGGAGGACCGACAAAGAGACATGGCAAGGAAAATAAAAAGAAAGGAAAATCGGCCGCTCGGGCGGGAGATTGCCCAGCCCTGCGAGGCTAATCGATGCGGGAGGGCGTGTGTGTAAGTATGTATGTATTGACATGTGTACATATTTGTGCGCATACATAGTACTAGGAATGTGCAGTGCATGCATCTTTCTCCGTACTTGGTACATATATGTGTGTACGTGTGTACATGTGTACATACTACCCGACTATGTACTTGTGCATCCACGGGTCGATTAATGCCGGCGGTTGGTTGGCCCCGAGTTCGTGTTTATCCTGGAACCAGACCCGGCCTGTGTGCCACGGCGACAATGCACGACTGCATTGATTCTTCATTATTCGTCCGGATGGGAACCGAACAGCAAAGGCGTCGGCGGGCTCGCGGGTCCAGAGAGAGGCCTTGGGCATCCACCCGTGCGTGTGGCAATGAGTTCCCACGGGTACGGATTTATCTCTCTCCTCTGTCGTTGTAAAGCCGGCGTCGTCGAGTCATCATCATACATACGTACTGTACAGTACTATCCGCCTGCGCGCCTTCGTACGGGCGAGAGAGATCTGCTCCTCCGTGCTCGGTACGATGCAACGCACGCAATAATAGCTCAACCGCTTTCGACAGGCCCCAAGCCCCAATGTCTCGAGGACGGCATTTGGGATCTGAGCAAGACAGAAACCCATGCGCCTGAATCCCGCCCGCGTCTTATTCGCCCAGCGAGGCGTATTATCAGTTAGACCTTGAACCCTTGGAGAAGACATCCGTATGTATGTATGCTGTCCGACCGGCTGCCTTTTTGCCGTCTTGCATTTGCCACGCTGCCGCCTTTACTAGTAGTAGTACTACTACTAGTATTCGTTTCCTCCGCTCTTGTGTAGTAGTTGTTGCTGTCTTGTTTACCTGTTTGTTTGTTTGTTTGCTTGCTTGCTTGCACAGCCCTGTGATTTCCTCCTGTCCCCCTTGAGTTACAATCTTTTGGTCGTACCCAAGTTACACACTACCCCCTGTGCGCCTTTGGATGCCAGGGATTTTTATTCAAAGCAACGGGGGCGTGGCCTAAATCCGACGCCGCCCTTTTTCTTGTTTTGTCATGTTCACAGTTGCGTAAACCAACAACCCAACAGGGACACATGGCCTCATGTCGTACATGAATCCATACAGACCAACACGCAGAATAGCACCAAACTCACGCTGTCAAAGCCAAAACTGCGGCCGGCCCAGGTTTGGCCCGGCGCCGGAGCGGCCCCCTGTGGGTGTTTTGTTTCTTTTCTTGTGCAGGGCTGCAGCCAATATTACATTACACAGCGCTTTCGGACTGACTGTTGGGCCTGCCAGGCTCGCGGAGCAGCAAGTGTCTGTCTAGGCTCTGGTGTATCCAGTTGTCCTCGCGGGCCCATCCAACCGACTCATCGCCTCACCTGTATTTCCTTGCACACATGCCACCGTCAAGTCAAGACGGACAGATGCGAAAAACATGCCGGGAGAAACACCCCACGAGCTTCGAACCACCAGCCGGCGACTCGTGGATGGGCATGCCAGGAAGCCTCGTATCGTGTAGTATATCACGACAGCCAATACTCCATCCAACGTGGTCCATGGTCTGCCCATGGAAGAATCTACCAACGGCGACCTCGTTGAAAACAAAACACATTGAACATAGGATCCAATACTTCTACCCAGGGGCATGTGTCCAGACCCCGGAAATTGTACATGGCATGATTGCATGCCCATCACCCATCATGGTCGAATTGCACCTTGCGGGTCGAGACGTGAAGATGCCTCCGTGCCACTTCGATTGATTGCCGCTCACTGATGCTGCTCGTCAACTGGCATCCCGTTGATTCGCAGCCCCAAAGTCTGTGTGGTACGTAGCACCCAAGCACCCAAACACTGACTTGCCAAGGCGAATATCAAAACATGTTGGCCGAGAGCGTGTGTGGGCGAGCAGAGAGAGACATGGACCCAAGACCTTGTTGGCCCTCCCCTCACCTTCAACCAGATTTCGCAAACGCATTCCACATCGCGGCATGCACCTTTATTTGAGAGCCAAATGCAGGCAGTACAGCAGTAGTAGTACTATGTGCTAGGCTGGGATAACCCTCCCCATTTACAGCGCCTTGGCACGTCGATCGATGTGATTTACCGTTCGTACCAGGCTGCCATACGACAGGGCGGCTGTGGCCCTCGGGAAATCCAGAAGCGGCGGCGTCAAGAGAGGGCGAGGGATTGCCAACGATGCATCCTCCGGCCGCCCCCACTCCTTTTCAGAGGCTGCGGGTAGTATTGCATAAAGTTGTCGCCCTACCGATGCACTCAATGTCGGACATGACATGTTTACGGCCGAGTGAAGCAAACAAACCAAGGGAACCAGGTGGGCGAAAGGGCTGATGCGGCGCAGGGGAGCAGGGGAGCAGCAGACCACACAGGGCGCTGGGCGGCCCAACAGGGCCATGGGATTCTCTCAAAGTTCAGACATCTCCGAATCGTCTTGTCGTACCAGATGCCATTCGCACCAGCACCGAGGAAAGCTGTAATGGCCTATCCACCCATATCATAAGCTTGGTTGAGGAGAGCCACTCCATCAAAAAATGGAGGTCACGACTTGTCCTGCACGTACCCTTGATACGGACACGCCTTTTCAGGTCAGAACTTGTAGACCCGCTCTGCGCAACAAGATTTTGCCCGCCCCTTCCAGACTCCTTCTAGAAGCTTTCCCTCTTGGGAAATACCGTGTGACGCGTCCAGCAGGTCCAGCCGTGTCAGGAGCTTGGCTTTTTGCAGTCCGAGGCCGAAGATGCAACGAACAAGCAGGTGCCGAGAGCCGTTGTAGCGGGACGGGGCAACGAGACGAACCCCCAAATAGCCTGCTTGTGTATTGCTCCTCGTTCCCGACATGATGTGGTGCAATGACGCAGCCGTGCTCTAACCACGCCGTGTTGCCACGACGCCAATGCAGGAATACAATAATAGACGTATAGTAGTAATAGGCAAAGAAGGGTCAACTTAATAAGAGCGGCCTTGATGACCCCGCCAAGTCAGTGGGTAATTCATTCTCAGGAGATCTTGATTTACCACGTTATGCACACCACGCAATTGGGTTGCAAGTTCCGGGGGTCAAACTCCAAGGCTTTCCGGTCGAATGACTCGTTTCATATCGAACAGAGTATTTCCAATCTTGATCAACTTGGTTGCAAAATGGTCTTTCGGGCAAGAATGCCGTCAACAGGCACCCCTTGCAGCTTAGCGCCTTCTTGAAAAAGGTCCGGTACGCCGATGTAGTTGGTACGTAGTCGTCATTGCTTCTTGGCCTTCTTGGCCTCCAGAAAAGCTCGAGCGTCTCATCAACGAGGCCCCCCTGGGGATCCCCATTCATGCCGACAGTTTTACCACCGTGCAAGCCGATAAACACTGTTGGCCGATACGCCAGCCGTTGGTCTACTGTACATACAATCCCCAGGGGAAGTTGGCCCACTTGTGGCCGGGAGAATCGACCAACTTCAGGTGGAACATTGAATCTTGCGGCGAGCCAACTGTCTTCCGTCTACTTGCCGCTTACCAATGCCAGTTGTGGTGGTCGCGGCATCGTCAAAGCGACAAAGTTTCAGCAACAGTAACCGCAAATGCTTCCAGACTTTGCATGCATGCATGCGCCAGCCGCAATGATTCAGGTCGTCGACAACAGAGTTTTGGACCTGACAAAACCAAGCATGGAGCAACCGGGGTTCTAGCAGCAACTTGCATAGTGGCGCTCAATAGCCCACGGGAGGACTACTAATACAACGCTCGGCACATGGCTGCGGCCCTGAGCAACATGTCAGAGTTCGTCACCGGGCTCAATAAACGCCGATGCTTGGTGGGAGCCGCAGTGGCTTTCAGCCCTCCGGGGCTTTTGATTCAGCGCCAAACCACGCAGCCTGCTCGTAACCAGATTGCTAATCAATTCCGCACCTCCAGGTCCAGGCGGAACGCCATTTTTGTGAGGCGTCTTTGGGTGACATGTTAGTACCATAAATGCTCTGTGACATCCCTGGTCTGGGATCGGCTGCAGTGGGTTTTGCCCAGCGGATAGTTTCGTGAACGTGTTGGGCCAGAAGAAGCACCCAGTAGACGGCCTTGTCACTCGCTCCCTTCTGCCGCGCGTCAAACATGGAAAGTTCCAATGCACCCTGTAGAGGCAAAGATTGGACGTTGAGGAAGGGGGGGCTGAGAATCTTGGCGTAGGTGCTGATAACGATTTTGGATCGGCACTCGATGTTGCCCAGGCGCGGTAGTAATCTCTGCAATGCGGCACTGCCCTCCCAGCACGTCATTGAAGCCCAAGGAAGCCACTGACGTTAAGTGCCAATTGTCGAATAAGCACAGCATTGTTTCCATTAGCCTCGTGAGTGCCCTGTCTCGGCTAGCTCCATCTTGCTCGGTCAAACATGCTTGAAACGCCTTCAAAAAAAAAGAGTAGAATCGTGACCTTTTGGCGTTGAAGGCGAATGCCACGAGTATATGGAGTACTAGAGGCGGAATGACACCATGTGTAACATCAAATCACTTGTCGAGTTTGCCGTCTGCAGCGGGGACGCCCTCCGGAAGCTGCCAGGTCTCGGAAAACGGCAAACTATACCGACAGTACATACCAGATATAGGGATGAAGTTTCGCAGAGCTTTCTGGGTTCAGACAAGCTCCAAACCACCCGCTAGTAGAAATGGTCTCTGGCAATTATGTACACCATTGCCCGGGCCGCAATGGTCGCCGATCAAAAACCTAAACTGCTCACCATCAAATTCCCGGCAACTTGGAACGCTGGAGCCGGGCGGGTTCTGCCCTTCATCTTGCGCCATCAAGATGTTGGCCGACGAGGTGCATGCGCTACCCGTGAGCGTCTTTGGAGATTCTGCTCGACTGGCTTTGTGTCATCTCAAGACCTTGATTTTTCGCTAATGCCACCAGGCAGCTTTCAATTGTGCCACGCCCTCAGGACTATATCATGGAATGGTGAGCGAGTAGAAAATACCTCCGCCACTCAAAAGCCTGGACGCCACCTGCGTTCCAATTGGGCAAGATTCGTGTTTGCCGGCTCCTATGCCGGCTCCTATGCCGTCGACCAACCCTTTGTGATTTTGGGATTTTGGGAGAGGCATAAGAATTACACGGAGGGAGCTCCGTTGAGCCATCGAATGAGTATCAACCTCCAGCTGATGGTGGTAACTAGGGTTGCAAGTCCGCCGCCGTTGACGTATAAATCCTGGTGCAAACTCAACAAGCTTGCTTAGAAGGCACGTGCATGCCAGGAATTCCATGATGCAGCGGCCGTCTTGGCTAATATTGAGCGAGAGAATAGTTGCGGACAACGCCATGGCTTGCGTGGACGCTGGCCACTAGAGATCAGCATCCAATCGCCGCGGGCGGATTGAAGAGACGAACGCCAAGTGGTGACGCCGCAGTGTCAACAAAAAGCAGCTCCAAATCCCTACTGGTATGCTGCCAATTGGCTGGCGAGTCAGGGGCATATCGGAGGTGCGTCCCTACAACTAGCAAGACGTCTGGATGTGAAGACGTCTCCCGAAACGTGTTATGACACGAACCAAGTGAAAGAGCCCTCGAGATACTTCGAATCAATGCGAATAGTTTGGCAACAAAATGTGGAGCCAACGAGCCGGGCCATGGGGTGACAAATTACCAAAGACAGCCGACTTTTCCGTGAAGTCGTGGCAGTTGAAATCTATGTATGTGCGTCCACTGCCTGCTGCTCCGGTCATCCAGGAGAGACGTTATTCACGTATCCCGATAATCCGGACAAGGGTGCCGCACCACGTAAAGCCCCGAGTCTGTGTCTCAAACGAGGAGGCTACATACTCCATTGTGTATTCGAGACAAAGACTCGTAAATGACCAATTTAGACGCCTGAGCGAGTCGCATGATGAATCGTATGGTGTTCTTGGACGGCCACCAAGTTGATTGCCCACGCGACACTTCGGTGAGGCGTCCAAACCCTAAAAGAATGAGCCAAAGGCCAGGGCGCAACCCAGAAAAGGAAGGGTAGCTACTACTAGTCGAGCGCCTCATCGCTTTGGCGGGTCTTTCTGGTTGGACAAGTTTCTGCACCCAGATCTGTTACTCCCGAAGTTGTATCTGGCCATTCACAACTCGCCAGTGAGTCACAAAGGACAAATAAGGACGGCTTGCCCTGGTTCCCACGTTTGAACCGACAGAGCCACCCAGGTCCGCACCTTGACATTTGGACCTTGCAGCCGAACAAAGAACTGAACCTGTGGAGACTGGTCCTCGGCGGTTTTGACGTATTGACGCATGTACTACTCCGTACATTCATTGTCTCCGGGGCTTTACCAACTGCTCAGGCGTTGGCGACTAACACATGGTTTATGGCTGGGATATTCAGCCGTTCACCTGCTCCGTGTACCGCCGAGCTTCCCGAACACGCCTTGGATGCACCCCATAGGCCCCATCCAAGACATCATCCGCTGCCCTCTTCACCCAAATTGGGACATTCGTCCCGTGGACACGGAAATTTGCTGCCATTTAGCGCGAATAAGCCCGCAAATAGGCACCAAAGATCAAGATAGTCCACCAGACGGCGCAGGGTTGACAATGCTTCGGCAGCCGTCCTTAATTGTGATGGGATATTGGGCAGACGTGATATGTACATTCTCCAGATGTATCGTGAGACGAAACCACTTTGGGAAGCCTAATTTCGCCGTGCATCGCCTGCCAATACATAGTGCCGGCATGCGGTGACGCCAGCATGACAGTCTTTTTTTGGGGGCCATCGTTGACCAAAATCCAGTCATCATTAGCCAGCTCACTGGCACAAGACAGAAGCAGGTTCGTGCACTGGCCCTTCGCAGACCCTCGGCGGGAGCATTCTGTTATCTGTCCGTCTGCTCGGTAGTGCGCCAAAAACAGCGTCGACTAATCAGAGCTGTAACCAGAATTGTTGGCGAAGATCAATGACCCAGACTGTTCTGCCGCAGTAGTGGTTGAGAGAGCATACTCCGTACATACATACTTTGGCAATTACATGCAAGATCTGGTATAGCCCCAGTTAGATCCCTGACAAATAATAGCACACAGGAGGTACGGAGTGGCCAATTGTAGCAAATGGCCGTCTTGGGTTATACCACGATCTAAATGGCTCCGAGCCGCCGTTTTCTCCTTGTAGCAAGAACTTCCGGTCGTGAACTTTCTCTCTTCTTTTCTATTTATTCGTTTTATTTTTCTTTGAAACAGTTAGCGTCACGGCTTGGATTGCATTGAATAGTCCAAGGTGTATGTATGGTCAGCTTTTGTAAATATTATGATAATCACGACTTTATGTGTGCTTCCTTTGAGGCTGTGGCATGTAGAATCGGCATTTTTGCAGATCCCTCATCACCACCCAATATCACACGGCTGGGCAAGTGCTACTTGAGATGCGAGGAACGGGAGCATCTATATTTGGTTGTCGCAATGACACACAAATCGCAGAAGGGCCACATCCCGACTGCGCCGCCCTTTTGCATTATATAACTCGGCATGAATTCGGATAATTGTTGTGGTGTGTACCTAGAGGCGGGCAATGAAAAACACTCATTTCTCTCTCACCTTGCTTTGTTGTGCAGTTGTCCAAAGGTAGCTTTCAACTGGTATGCGGAGCCATCACATTCTCTGCGACTTACTTGACCACACGTCCGTGAGATAGTAGGAGAGGCTATGCTTTGCATCATGAGGTTCTCTCTTGGAGAAAAAAAAAGGGATCAAAAGAAAGGAAAAGAAAAAAATATGTTAAGAGTATGGTTGTGTAAGTGGATGCATTGGTCCGTGGCCCCTATCGTCCACAAACCATTATCACCTTGGATGATGTGCGTGCGCAATTTGTGCCACCAACACAAACAAGGAATCTGGCTTCGATAAGGAAAAGGTGTTATGACCCCTTCACTCACCATTCATGTGATATTTCGCTGATTGACATTTGTACATAGTCTTGTTTGGCCGTGACGCGTATTCACTTGAGGCTTGGATAGGGCCAAGTCCGAAAAAGAGGGGAACTACCACCATGTCGTGGATCGTTACGGGGTAGTATAATGGGGAGGGTGAAATCTTTTGCCCAGATAAAAATGCTGCGAACAAAGATTTGATGAACAAGACGAAAGAAAAAAGGGGACTGTCTAATGTGGAAATAACGCCGGACGTCAACTTCCCGCTGTTCTGTGAAGAGATTATCACAGTGCTGGTAAAATCCATTCCATCCTCAGTTGACGTGGCATCGTTTCGAAGAGATCCACGACAGCACCACAGGTAGTGAAACAGGATGACGCCGCCAGTCAGGGTTGGTTCTAGCTTAAAGCTTGCCACAGCAGGTGATTGGGTGTATACCATTTACTGCCGCCGTTGGACTATACGGGTCCTAATCACTAGTTCCGAATTGGACTGCCTGTATTCAATGTGCGAAAAATGGTCTTTTGACGGGGGCTTGTTTCCCGCGTGTTTTATGATTGCTTTTCGAAGTGATGATGCTGTAGTATGTATGGCCAAACCGGTCGGTGGTCTTGGGCGCTTGCAAGTGGAGCGTCTGGCTGATGAACCTGGGTAGGGCGTTGTATAACGTCTCATTGCGTTCTCAATATTACTCCGTATGTTGGCGGTATTTGATTTCCTCTGGTACATCAGCATGTTTGTCTGGGGCAGCGAAGAGGGACGGTTCACACCTGCACCGCATAAGCACTGTAGTGGCAGAGATGCTTGTCTCGACGGTGAGACCCACGTTTGCCACGGCACTCAAGGGGAATTGCTTAGAACTAAAGCCGGGAGAGATCCGCGCCCAATGTTTGGCCTGCCTGGGTAAACCTGCTCATCGTCAGCTAGTGTGGCCGGCCCTGTCAAGTCACTCGGGAAAGGAGTGCATCTTTCCCCGAGAATTCTTCTCAGAATCCCAAGAGCCTCCACAATGGCTAGTTCTATACATATATCAGCAGCTGTCGACATGCGTCAGGGTTCCTCCTGGGATAGGACAAGGCGCAGAACCAGAGAATGCTCAAAGGAGATTGGCGTCTAATACCGCCATGAAATGCTGCTGAACAGGTACAACCTCCTTGTGGCATATCAGTGATTTTTGGGTTTGAGACTCGATGCCAGAACTGCTTCTCGCCCTGACCTTGCGTCATTGGGGGCGGCGGTAAACGGCGGCAAGGTCCACTCCAACCACACAGGTTTGGTTATGTCAGATACCTAGGATCTCCGCTAATTGATCAAACATCCAGCGGCTTAAAGTGACGTCCAGCGCGTCATGCTAACCCGTCATCCACCGTCGGGGCTACCCTG